TGACCACTGCCCTCTCTTCCAGATCATTCCTCCCCTTGCTGTAATGATTCCCGCTGTCCTGGTGTTTTCTGTCACTGGTCCTTCTTCTAAGCCTTTCCAGAAGGTTCCTTCTCCATATTCAGCCTCTAAATCATTTTATTTGGAGTGCCTCAGGCTCGGTGATTTTTTTTTTTTTTTTGCAGGGAAGAACAGGTCTTCGTGTCTTTGCTGTCCCTGGTTGGCTAGTCCAGTCCCCTGACTTCACTTTACATACCGCCGATGTGCTGATGGTGCCCTCTGAGATCTCTCCTGTGAGCTCCAGACTCTACTTCCCACTTCATCCCTTTGGGAATGGTGTGAACAGAAGTCTTGGTTTTCCCCTCAAACCTGCTCCTTCTCTAGTCAACCCTCCATGGCACCACTATCTAGCTAGTTGTTCATCAAGCAAAAGTAATCAGATTGATTACTCCTTTTCCCCCCAATCTAATCCACTAGCAAGGCATGTGCCTAAAATACAGCTTCAGTGTATCCTTGCCCTTAGGTATCTAGTCCAGTGCCTGGCACAGAGGAGGCATTCACTGGTACATGGGCAGATGAGTGATGTCCATAGGAAGCCAGGAAAATTGTTAAAATTGTGGACTCTCTTAACATGTTCTGAAAGACAGTCTTTGAAAGTAAAGGCAGGGCGACTGTTCTAGATTAAGATATTTTATAAAGGCCTGGTAACAAGTGCTATACAGAATGCTTGATTGGATTCCATGTTTGTTTTTTTATTTAAAGCCAGCTAGAAAGGATACTGGGCTTCTCAGGTGGCGCTAGTCTTAAAGATCCCACCTGCCAATGCAGGAGACTTAAGAGATTCGGGTTCCATCCCTGGGTCGGGACGATCCCCTGGAGGAGGGCATGGCAACCCACTCCAGTATTCTTGCCTGGAGAATCCCATGGACAGAGGAGCCTGGTGGGCTACAGTCCATGGGGTCGCAAAGCATCGGACACGACTGAATGGACTTAGCACGTAAAGGATACTATTGGGACATTTGGGGAAACTTGATGGATTATAGGTAATGTTGTATCAATGGCTGCTATGATTGTGTGGGAGGATGTCCTTGTATTTAGAAAATACAAGTTGAGGGCTTTTGGGATGATGTGTTATGATACCTGCAACTTGTTTTTCACATGGTTCAAAAGAAAAAAAAAAGCTTCTCTCTAGAAAGAAGGGAGAAAAAAATGTAGCACGAAGTTAACCATGCGTAAATCTAGCTGAGTGGAATGTGGGTTTTCATTTTACCGTTCTATTTTACTGTAGGTTTGAAAATTTTTTGAAATAAAAAAGTTAGAAAAAATCAACAGTGGAGAAGAATTTAAGGAAAAGATATTTTGGGGCTATTTTTAAGCCCCAAAATGCTGAAATTAATTTTGAAGCATGATGTTAAATATAATAAAGCCTAAGGATAAATATATGTATATGTGTGTGTGTCTCTGTATAGTTAATCAAACCAAGTAGAATTAAGGCCTTTCTGGAAAAGTTACCTCTTAAAAATTTGGCCTGAAAGCCTGCGACTCGCCCACCAGGGGGCAGTGCAGGAGCGTCATTCTGTTCCCTGCTGAGCGCTGCGGGTTTCTCCCCACATAACTGATTCCACAAGAGGTCACTCTTCTCTGCACAAAACGTTTTCAGGCTTCTTGGACCCCTTTAACAGAGAATGTGGATAGTTATACCGCTTCCCGTTTCTTTCTTCCCACTCCGACCTGCTTCTGAGTTCTGTGGATTTTTGCCTTGGCCCCGCCGCTTCCTGGAGTAGACTTCACGCAAGGGTCTGGATGAGAGGGGTGCAGGTCCGCTCCCCTGTGTGCGCTCCAAAGGCCGAGTGCATTGTCTACTCCCGCCCCAGGAATTCAGTCTTTTTATTACAAACTGCCAAGTCATGGTCCTACCGCAGTTCATCTTTAGGTATCCTAGGATCTGTTGAAATTCTAGGAATTTCACTCAACGGTTTCACCTCTCTTAAAGCTGTGATGTGGCTCTTTACTGAGTGATTCAGTTATATATAGCTCAGACGGTAAAGAATCCACTTGCAATACAAGAGACGCAGGTTCCATTCCTGAGGCGTGAAGATCCCCTGGAGAAGGGAGTGGTAACCCACTCCAGTATTCTTGCCTGGAGAATCCCATGACGTGGTTGACTTAGAAGGACTGTCTTTCTGTGCAGTTTACCAAGAAAGATGGCTTAGTGTGAATGTTGTAGAAAGTACCTAGCAGATTAAATGGTTAGCCTGTGGTGAGTGAGTGTTCTTCCATTTAACACGTACTCAATGCCTGCAGAACCAGATTGCACTATCGGACTAGAATTAAAAAACCACAGGAGTCAGACTCCAGAGGTGCTTATAATAGGCGAACAGGATAGAGTAGCCCCAAACAAATTTAGCGGTGCGCTCAGAAGGAAGTGCTCTGAGCAAAACAGAGCTCTGGTAGGGGCAGGAGTGGGGGGCAGGGAATGTTACCTGCTCTATCTTGGCTCAGGACATGGAGTCCTGTTTAGAGATCCTCCAGGGTCCATTAGCATCAGGACACCACCAGCCTGTCTGGACAGCTTGCTCTGTCCCTCCGCAGGTGAGCGAAGTGCCCTTCGTGTGTCGTCATTGTCCAGTTCAGACCTCTGTTACAGCGCGCTGTTCGTGGCTGTTACATTGCATGCTCTTCTCTCCTGAGGACAGAGACTGATTACTAATAGACTTGTGTATTTTCCCCACTCTGGTTCCATTCTGGTCCCGTGCATGTTTTTTTTTTTCCCTCTGGGCTACCTCTTTTTTCCTTTTTTTGGAGTCTTTTTCTCAAATACAATGACATAGACTTGCTAATATCTTAAAAAGTAAAGCAAAGAAAAGTAACCCTCATGGAGTGCCTTTCTGTGTGTTGGACACGTCACTGTGTTAGGTGTTTTTATAAGCATCGTCTCCGTTAATCTTCTTCCTCTAACAGACTCGGCGAGCTTCTTCGCTGTTCTAGTCTTTGCACTCACTGTTTCTTTTCCTGGGAACCTGTTTTTCCTCAAGTGATCAAGAAGGTCGTTTCCTTTCCTGCTAACAAACGTGTAGTTTATAGGCCATCCTTCTGTGGTTGAGTTTATTAGGCTGGTGACCCCACTTTCCTCCCAGTGGTGGGTAGGGTCTCGGGGAGGAACTCACTGAGGCCAGCCTGAGAACTTAGACTTCCTCCCTCTTGCTGGGTCCCTGCCCTTCCAGCTGCTCCTCCAGTGCATCCTGGTCACTGGATGTCCTGTTTTAGTTTACTAATTTAGTATAATTGCTCAGTTTCTTCCTCATGATAACTGATTCCTTTCATCTAGACTGTATTTCTCCATAGAACACAAGGGGTTCAGTATTTTGGTCAGTTTTCCCCTTAAGCATGGGCTAACCCATCATCTTTTTTTTTTTAATGAACATAATTGTATTTATTTATTTTATTTTGGCCGCTCTTTGTGGCATGCAGGATCTTAGTTCCCTGACCAGGAATCGAATCTATGCCCCTTGCGGTGGAATCACAGTCTTAACCACTGGCTAGCCAGGGAAGTCCCTAACCTATCATCTTTTAACATACAGTTTTGTTCTTTATAATCTGCAAGTCTAGATCATACCTTTGTAAACAGATATATACTTACTTTAAAAGCTCATCCATTTTTACAGCTTTAGTATTAAAATGATATAACCAAGTTCTCATCTTGTTATGGGGCTTCCCAGGTGATGCAGTGGTAGAGAGTCCACTGGCCAATGTAGGAGACACAGGAGATGCAAGTTCCATCCCTGGTTCGAGAAGATTCCATGGAGTAGGAAATGCCAGCCCACTCCAGTATTCTTGCCTGGAGAATCCCCATGGACAGAGGAGCCTGGTGGGTCCATGGAGTCACAAAGAGTCGGACACGACTGAGCACATATGTATCTTCTGTTATACCTATCTTCTATTATAAAATCTTACCTTAACAAATCTTCTCCAACCTTCAAGGCTCACTTTAAGTCCTAAGTCCTCTGAGGTTTTCTGCATCTTTAGTAGCTCACATTAATCTTTCCTGCTCTCAGTACCTATACTTCAGTTTGGCCATTAATCTAAAGAATCTTATTTGTTATTTAATTGCTTTGTCTATCTGTGTCTTATGTGACTGATGAGATGGTTGGATGCCAGTTGATGGTGGCAATGTGTTCTTAATTTTTGCAGTGTTGAAAAAGAGTCACTTTAAAGGACTTTTTTGAAGCAAAATATTTAAAATATATTTTTCCTAATGGAGTTTTACATATTTTCTTAAACACAGTTTGAAAATTATTCATCTGGTTTAGGTTTTCTGAAAAGCATTTTCTTTCAATGTAGGATGATTGTTTTTCTGTATTTTTATTATTCATTTTATTCTCAGTATTCATTTAAGAAGACTAATGTGTTCAGGTACAATGCTCCAAGGAAGTGTTTCAGAAAAGAAAGAATATTAATTATTTCCTGTAGCTTATCTATAAAAAGCCATTTCGGAAAGTACATTCATTTTAATTTTTTATCGGGAGTTTGCAGTTGATTTTAACAGTTGCTATATTAAAGTCATTTTTAGTCTTCTACAGAAAATGTATAAAGGTTTATTTGATAAAATATCAATATTTTAATAGCTATAATTGTCTAAGCATTCCTAATTATGTGTTGAGCTTTCTAATTCTTACCAGAGCTGCTGTTTCCTGGCAAAGTTTAAACATCAGTCCCCAGTTAGGTTAATCTCTGTATAATATAATTAAATTCATCTGACCTGGTTACTGGGTACATTTTAAATATCAGACTGCTAATCATGTCACCACGATGAATATTTCAATTTTAAAGTTGACCTTTTAGAATCAGCCTTTCTTTAATCTGCCAGTAGTACTTAACAGAAATATTTCTTTTTAAAAGTAACCTGACTTAATTAATGTATTTAATGATAAAAAAACAAAGTTATTATAAAATGTGTATAAGGCAAGCTGTTTTAAACTAATGACATTTCTTTTTCTTTATAGAGATACTTCCTAGTTGGGAGCAATCATGCAGAAACAAAATACCGTGTTTTGAAAATTGACAGAACAGAACCAAAAGATTTGGTTGTCATTGATGACAGGGTAAGTATCTTGACAACCTGAATACAGACAGAAACCTTTGTACTTCTTATTTAATGGATATGAAATATCCTTACAGCTTCTAGCGATGTATACTTTTTTTATCATACATCTAGTAATGACAGTTTTTCATGGCTGGCTAGAATTTTTAATTTCTAATCTGGTTTCTAAAATTACTGAAGTCAGAAAGTTTGCCAGAATTACACTTTTGTCCTTCATTTTGATTTTTTACGAAGCAAACTCTTTGGATAAGATAATGAATATATTTTCTTACAGGGTTGCCATTTTAAGGATCTGATATAACTCTCAATATTGCATCCACCAAAGAGATTATTTATTCTTCTTCTTTAATATGAAGCTCCTTGAAGTCAACAAGGACTTCGCTATTGCACTTTTTATTATACTGCTAAAAGTGATCGGTAGGGTCACTTCTGATGACTTGCTAGAGAAATGTTAAGCTATTCTTATCCACATGTCATATTATTCAGAGTTGGGACTTAATTCAGGTGGCACAAAAATATGAGGCTTTTAGTCAAAAGAGAAATATAGTAAGGTGGAATTGAACAGTTAATTTTAACTCTCAGGTGAGAGCAGCTAACTAACACTTTGTGTTGAAGTTCCTGTCTGAATATTTCTGAATCCGTGTGGATTCCTGGTTTTTCAAAGGTATCAATAGCTGTAGTTTGGAACTCATTTTCACTAGGCTCTTTGGAAAACTAATTTCTATGTTATAATAATTTTGGATATATTGTGACTTCCCATACTTTTGGGTATCATGGTCCTCCTTTGCCCACACACATACCATCTGGAAGTATTTATTAATACGATGTAATGATACTTGACTCTTTAGAGTCCCTTGGACTGCATGGAGATCCAACCAGTCCATCCTAAAGGAGATCAGTCCTAGGTGTTCATTGGAAGGACTGACACTGAAGCTGAAACTCCACTACTTTGGCCACCTCATGTGAAGAGTTGACTCATTGGAAAAGACCCTGATGTTGGGAGGGATTGGGGGCAGGAGGAGAAGGGGACAACAGAGGATGAGATGGCTGGATGGTATCACTGACTCGATGGACATGAGTTTGAGTAAACTCCGCGAGTTGGTAATGGACAGGGAGGCCTGGCATACTGCGATTCATGGGGTCGCAAAGAGTTGGACACGACTGAACTGAACTGAATGATATGTGGCTTAACTTAGGGGTAGGAGTGGTTGATCAGGAATCTCTTTGAGAATCTAAGAAAAGCTATGGACCTTCTCATAAAAATACACGTATGCACGTTTAACCAAAACTTTGCATACAATTTTAAGGAGTTTATAGATTTCTTGAAACTTGTCTCTGGATTCCTCATACCTCTGAATCTATGATACAGAAGATACGATTTTGGTATACCTTTTAAGTACAGCAACATGTGATCCCATAACCACCCTTAATTAACCGCTAATGTTAAAAAAATTTGTCGGCTTTTTAGAATTGTAGCTTAGTCCTGCACTTTTATATGCTTCTCTGTGAAATAGCTAATGATGTAAAGCTGTAGGAAACTTTTAATTTTCAGAGGTAAATAAATAATCTAAAAATCAAACTCAACCTTACAGATTAATTTGCTTATTTCTAGCATGTATATACTCAACAAGAAGTGCGAGAACTTCTTGGGCGCTTGGATCTAGGAAACAGGACAAAGATGGGACAGAAAGGCTCCTCTGGGTTATTTCGAGCTGTTTCAGCTTTTGGTGTTGTAGGTAAGAAAGATGCCTCCCTCTTTCAACCTCTTTTTTTTTTTTTTCCTATATAGACTACTTGAAGATAGTTTGCAAGGCTCATATTTATATAGGTTTGTAAATGTGACCCACTTTCTGTGACTTTGGTTATTTAAAACTGCGTCATCTATCAACGAGGTATCAAACAGCCTTTATATAATATCTGCCATACACTCAGGACTGTGGCCAGTTTCGTGTAGGATATGAACAAATGTAGCGATGGTTTGGACCTCTAAGGAGTCTGGCTTGGCAAGAAATGAAAAAGTGGAAATTGGCTTGGAATTGTAAGCATCAGCTGGAAAAACAGGTACAAGTAAAAGCAGCTTTTAAATTAGAGGAGTTTCTCTCAAGGACACGCTGCAGTGTGAAGTGGCCCGAGCCCCTTCTCTGAGTGACAACTGCTTTCTTACTCTCAGAGAAACTTTGTTCTCTAAAATCACAGACAGTCGGAAACTTTGCTCTTTAAAATCGTGTCAGTGAGAGAAAAATGCCCCCGTCGCCTGGATGATCTAAGTCATTTTGACGCAGAAAGGTGGCCTCGGTTGAGGCGCGCGCGGAGCCTCAGATAAGGGCTTTCTGGACGCGGCCGACTGCGGCTCTGTTCACTTTATTGCTTTCAAGGAAATGAGACCCTGAGTCCCTTCACAGTCCAGACCTGATGTTTATCTCTTTACATTCAGTCTTGCTCTGGTTTGAGCCTCTTCATTTCAATTTTACCTAATCTCTTTCCCAAATCCTATAATAACGCCTTTGCTTATTCATGAACAAGCACAGACGTGGCCTCGGCCTTTAAAGGAGTCCAGCTTGTGGGGCGTTTGGGCGATGCCCCGCAGTTCTGGTGCGCTGTCTCTTGTGACAGTGGTTCAGAAAACCCATCTTTGCTCCTGGATTTGTCCCGGGGAGTCTTAGGATGATTGGATTGGACGGGGGTGGGGTGGGGGGACAAAACCCAGTGCCCAGGAAACAACTCCAGGACTGGAATTTGGATCCCAGTTGTGTAGTCAGTAGTAAATGCTGAAGATTACGTAAGAGAGAGACTCCTTGGACCTGGAGTGGCCAGGAAAGATTTCCTGGAGAAGATAAGACTCAGGCTGGACCCTGGAGGAGAAGCAAGCTTTGGATGGATGTCGGGAAGGGAGGAGAGAGCTCCGGGGGGGGGTGACGGCAGAAGCATCGGTATGAAGATGCCCACGGGTCCTGGAATGCTGGCAAGCGGTTGCTGAGGCCAGATAACTGGGGCCTTGGAGGTCAAGCAGAGCGCAGTTGTATCTCAGCTTCCCTGTCGGCATGGCCATATTGCAAGTCTTTTTTTTTTTTTCCCCCAACACAAAATTATCTTTCTGCTTCTTAAACCTGAACTGTCTGTAATATTTACTGAGTGATGTCTGTAGATGTTAACAAAATTAATATGGACTGACCTGTGCTATATAGTTTCATATTCAGATGTTCATTTTTCTGATTAGCACTTTCTATTTGGTGAATGTGTACTTGGTGAGACTTTGATTATGCGTATTCTGCTGTGTTTGAAGTTTGTTTTTCTAGATGTGCTCTCATAGTCCTTCATGTGGAATCCCTTTAGGTCCATTTTGTGTCTAAGGTGGCTGCCAGGGAAGGTCAAGAGTGGTCAGTATGATTAGCTTCTTCTGCATAGGACTGGCACCTTCTGTGTACCTTCTGCTTAGTCTAGACAAATCCCTTGAGGTTTCATGTTTAATGGATAAGTGTTTAATGGGTAACGTTTAATGGATAACATGTGCATGTTAGTGTATGTCAGGTGAGTTCCTGTGTTTCAATTCCATATATGTTAAATTGCATTTTAAGTGTTACTTAACTCTTAATCAAAGAAAAAATCTAGAAATAAAAAAAAGTCTCTTAAATACATTAGGCTTAATTAGATACTTAATAGGTTAAACTCATTTCTTTAAATGCTATATTTTATTTATAGTATTTAAATGCTAAATACTTTATTACAACTTTTGAAAAATGTAAATTTCCTAAGGTATATGTAATATTGAATGCCTAATTAGCCAGAGTTAAATATTCAAACTTGAACCTTCCTTGGTAATTAAGTATAATGAGTTGAAGATCAGTTGTGGGTGTGTGTGCTAAGTTACGTCAGTTGTCTCTTTGTGACCCTGTGTGCTGTAGCCTGGCAGGCTCCTCTGTCCATAGGATTCTCCAGGCAAGAATACTGGAGTGGGTTGCCATGCTCTCCTCCAGGGGATCTTCCCAACCCAGGGATCGAAGCCGCATCTCTTATGTCTCCTGCATTGGCAGGCCGGTTCTTTACCACTAATGCCACCTGGGAAGCCCATTGAACTATATTTTAAAATAGCTGCCCTTGGGTGTTTTGGAATTGTATTGGGCAGTTTGCTTTTTACATTAAGTGGCCTCTAGATGCTGTCCTGGGCTTCGCAGGTGGCACTAGTGGTAAAGAACCCGCCTGCCAATGTAGGGGACATAAGAGATGTGGGTTTGATCCCTGCGTCAGGAAGATCCCCTGGAAGAAGGCATGGAAACCCACTCCAGTATTCGTGCCTGGAGAATCCCATGTACAGAGGAGCCTGATGGGCTGCAGCCCATGGCTTGCAAAGAGTTGGACACGACTGCAGTGACTTAGCATGCATGCACTTTAATGGTACTTTCATCATTCTTCATTGTTCTGGGCATATTTGCTTTTAGCAATATTCCTTGCCTCATTTTAAATATATTGATAACTAAGCTTGTAAAACCATAGCTTAATTTTAATCCACAGATAACCAAGTTTATAGACAAATGCTCATTTTATACATAGCTATTAATAAACTTTGGATGAGGACTGAAGGTGTCACCATGTTTCTCTTAGGTGGCATTCTTAGATATTGTGGTACATTTCTGTCACAATTTGAGGCCCCTTTGAGACTCTCCTTGGATGGTGAAGTCGCTATAAGGCTGACTTGCCAGTAAAGTGACACAGTAATGTACTAAGTAAGCATTTATTACTTTCGTGGAAATGCACTTTATTTATTCTAATTCAACCATGCTTAGAATCTTTGAAGAGTAAATAAGGATTCTTAATAAAAGGCTATGGTTTGTCTAGTATTGGCTAGACAGATGAGGGCTACTGAAATAGCAAAACACAAAATAAGGGCAACTGAAATAGCAAAACACAAAATACTTACCTTGGAAAAATATATAGTCTGATTGTCAGAATAATACATGTGTGAAAGGACTTGAATGATTGTCTTCTCTTCTGCGGCTGAAGTATTTTCTCTCAATTTTTTCAGCATGCCCAATTTCTGAATAGTAATTTTTCTGAACTGTTTTGAATGGTTACCATGGTTAATTTAATTCACAATCTATAAGAATCTAGAGCTATGCTTGTCAACCGTCTATAGTAAAGGACCAGTGTTTTTTCCAGAAATGTGTCAAGACCAACACAAGAGCCTTCTGGGCATAACTTGTCATCAGCTTGGACCACATGTGACTCATCACATAAGTTCATAATATCCAAACTAGTCTTGTCTGTTCAAGACAGGTTCGTTGATCATGAACTCTGATGTTCCTAAACCCTTCCTTTCAGTTTGTTTGTGTTTCTTTTCACGGACTGGTACTGAAAGCTTATGGACCATCTCTGGTCCCTAGACATGGATTGAGTCTGTGCCGTAGCTGTGGTGCCCACTTATGACTTGTTCCACTTTGACAGCCAGGAGGTTTGGGAGGCCACCAGATAGGTCATGAGCCTCGCTCACCCAGTTTTTTTTTTTTTGTTTCTATGCTCCTGCCTATTTCTATGACATACTACAGAAGGCGAATCTGCAGGGTCACAAAATCCATCAGTGGTTGCCAGGTGCTGGGGGTGGGAAGAGTGGATGGACACCAAAGGAGCCTGAGGGAGTGTTTTTGGGGTGATGGAAATATTATGTTGATCTCAGCAGTGTTTACAAGACTGTGTGACAGTGAAAAGTGTCAGTCACTCTCACCCAGGTTTTAATGTGGTCCTGGGACATTCGGGTGGAGGCCTGTAGTCCTCACTACTCTCCGTACTCTGACCATCCAGCTCCTTTTGATACATGTCTTTTTTCTGCCTGTGTCACCAGTGAGAGGACACTCTTGTAAGCTGCCAGTAGGTAGAAGGGGAGTGGTAGAGTAAGTGTCTTCATAGTAGACTAAATGATGGACTTGGTTGTTCTTTAAAGCAGCACCCTTAGACAGATTGCAGATCCAAGAGAAAGGGAAAACGGCAATGGCACGTGGGCCTCGACTCGTGAGGGGATGACAGTTTTGGTGTTAGGGTGTCACTGTGGCCCCTTGTGGTTTTTGACACCTCTCTGTCAGCGTGCAGAGGGGCTCTGAAGACAGTGACAGCTGACAGGGTGACCCAGCAGGATGCTGCCTCTTCCCTGCTGGTGAGCTTGTGGGATGCTCTCCGGCCACTGGAACCCCACACCACCCATCCTCTCACTGTCCCTGGTTATGGACTTTGCTTGGGGTCCGTCACAAACGACACAGCCTTCTCTACTTGGAGAAAAAAGCCACTTTTGCATGGTGACTGTCGTCTAGGCTCCTGGGAAGGACTTGGGGAAGTTGGTCTGGGATCAGAAGTGCACAGAATGAAGATGAAAAAACCCATCCTGGTCTTTCATGTGTTAAAATGATGATGAGGCTGACTTTTGACAGAGGTCTGTGCCAGACTGAAGCCTTTTAACTGTCGGCTGTATTTGATGGGAACCTTTTAAAAAAACGAGTGACATTTCCAATTGGTAGTAAAAAAGAAAATAATCTCATAATATGCAAAAAGCACTTAATGCTGGTAGAGAGTGTTCTTTTATACAGTATATTTGCTTTATTAAAAATATAAAGGGATATATATATATATGTAGGATGAAATAGTCTAGAACTGAAAACATAAAATTCAATTGGAATTCAGGTTGGGGGAAATTATTACAAAGAGATTTTTTCCTTATATAAAAACTACATAACAAGAACAAAAGGAAAACTGATTTGTCTTGGAAATATTTATTACTTAAACTCAATTAGATTCCCATTTTGGGTGTTTATGCTGCTTCAAGACCCTTGCTTTTGTAGGTTTTGGCCTTCTTAAAGGAAAACTGCTTCCTAACTTGCTTTTAATGAGATTGACATTAAACTTTTTTCCCTATTTTATGTCCTTTAGCTTTAGTCAGGGAATTTGGGGCTAGTCTCCAAGTGGAAGTAGCCCAGATGCATCACTCAGTCACATCTGACTTTTTGTGACCCCATGGACTGTAGCCCACCAGGCTCCTATGGGGAGTGGGTTGCCACTTCCCTCTAGTGGGGAGGAGCACAGATGAACATTTTTTAAAAATGTGCTTTGTGGCTGTCCAGAATGTAAGTATTTTTTCATTGTTTTAATAGCAGTAACGTGGTTCATTAAAATCCTTATGGTATCTTTATCTTAAATATTTTGGCTCATTTACATTAGTATGTTCAATTGCTAATCTCAACTAAGACTAACACAGCATAGACTATGGATATTTGCCAATTCTAGAGCAAAAATTTTTAGCCCCAAGATCCTAGCTCAGACTATAGAGTGCAACACTCGGAGAGAGAAAGAGGGCAAGTGCAAGTGGGACGCCCACACGCACACACAAGAGTGTTAGTTTTGAAAAAACGTTAGGCTGTATATGGAAGATCCTTGGTTGAGCTTTTCTTTCAGTGCTTTGAATAAGTTATCCCACAGCCTTACGGCCTCCGTTGTTTCTGGTAGGAAGTCACCATGTGTGACCGTATCTGACTCCCACAGTGAGTGAGCTGGGGTGCTGGGATCCAGTATCTGTGCTGGGGTAGAGCCTCACTCTATGAGTAAGAAACGGGTAGAAAAAAGGAGCCCCCAGTTTCAGATGTGCTTGCCTGGAATAAAGAATTTGCAGCACACAGCTGAGGGGGTGAGAAACGCTGGTGGCCTATACCTCCTGAGCAGAAACCAGGGCCCTAGACTGAGAGCTGGGAGGCGAAGAGGGGGTACTGTCTTTTTGGGGACACCTGCTGGGAGTAGACACTCATCACACTGAATTGGGAGAAGGGTGTAGGAGGGAAGCAAGCTATGGTTCGGATGCCACAGACTGGCTGGTCTTTCCAAGATCTAGTAGATTTTTTAAAATAAATGTTTCTCCATTTGCTGTATGCCATTAGGAGAATTTCCAGAAACTGTCAGTGTTTTGGTTTTATAATTTTCACCAGCCACTAGGGAGAGGGTCTGCTGAGCTCCTCACATAGCTGGTTCAGACATGTGCCCCTCTCCCTTCCCCCAACCACCAAGAGAATTAGTTTTAACTCCCAAAGCAAAAGTTCTGGGAGCCAGAACATTTTTAACCAAGACTGTATGGTAACTAGTGTGTAGTTGGGAATTTAGTGTTACTGAACCTTAACACATACGGTCTTCCTATAATCAAATTGTTCACAGTAGTATTTTTAAGTGAGATAAACATTTCTAGAGAATAATTCTAAAACAGCTGAAAATTTGTATGGCTATATATCAGAGAAATAATAAAGCAGGAAATAAGCCAAAGTCTTTTTGCCTTTTAAATATGTATCTGATAACATTACTAAGTTTAGAAGATGTATTTATCTTTCTGTTGTTGTTGTTGTTGTTGTGTAGGTTTTGTCAGGTTTTTAGAAGGCTATTATATTGTGTTAATAACCAAAAGGAGGAAGATGGCAGATATTGGAGGTCATGCAATATATAAGATTGAAGATACAAATATGATCTATATACCCAATGATTCTGTACGGATTAGTCATCCTGATGAAGCTAGGTATGTACTGGTGGTAACTGTGTTTTTGTGTCTGTAGACCAATTGAAAAGCAAAACATAGTCAATAGATTATAAATGTTAAAATGTAAATACTGGCTGAGAATGCTGCAGCTTTTGTTCAAGCGCTATTGAAGACCCTGCATTATGATAATTGATTTGGGCAAGAATCAATATTGGCTGCTAAAACTATTAGGTGAGAGGTTATTGTTGACATACTGTACTTCATTAATACCTCGTGAATATTTTTATTATTAACAAAGAGAAAAACATGACAAACATATTTAACCAAATGATCAAACCTGGCATCACCAATAATGAGACAAAACTGACATTATTTGCCTCTCAATATGAAGCAGTGGGAAGGACACCAGTAGCCTGTGTAGTTTTCTTACTAAAAATATTTAAATTGGATCTAAGCACGAGTAAAGTAATCAGACAGATCCACATGTGGGACTTTCTGTAAGACAACTGGCCCGGACCCTTCAGGGATGTCAGTGTCGTGAAATACAGGAAGAGCCGGAGAGTTAGATTTTAGAATAAACATGACAAAGTGCAGCACTTGAATTTGTTGGATCCTGGATTAAAATATGTACACAATGGGAACACACACATAGGCACAGAGCTGTAACGGACTTTACCGGAATGGTTTTATGTGAACTGTATACTAGGGGGTATTGGGTCAGTGTTAGATTTTGAGTGTATTAGTGACATTCTGGTTATTTAGGATATTGTCCTCGTTCACAGTAGATACATAATATTAAGATACATAATATTTAGGACTGTCATCATGTTTGCTGCTTACTTTAAATGGTTTAGAAAAATAAAATGTACTTGTGTATTTAAAGAGAGAGAGAATGTATATATGTATAAGGAGAAATATTTAACAGTGAATTCAGGTGAAGGACATACTGCTATTCATTATACTATTTTCCCCCCAATTTTTCTATGTGTTTGAAAGCTTCAAAAAGTTTTTTGGGGAAATTATTGGAACCTTGGGCATATGGAGAAAGACTGTTAATAAATAATAAATTGATAGAGAAAATGCTAGAGTTGGTTTGATATTATAAAGACTCAAAATGGAACAAAGTTAGGCATGTTTATGAGTTTTTAGGGAAGATAGCAGCTTAGTGTAATTAAAATTACACTTTGTACCTTTATAGTGTTGTTCTAGAACATGAACCAGAATTTAAAGGTGATGTGGTTTTCTTGCTTAAAACCTTCTTAGAAAAAAAAAAAAAAAACCTTCTTAGATAGTGGTTTTCCGGAACTTTGTGACACTATCTTTGATGTTTGGAAGTGGGGTAAAAAAACAATTTTGTTTCAGACAAGAGTAAGTAGAGTTTACCAGATAAAGTTGAATTTTGTCTTATACTAACTGAAAAAAATTATATCTTATGTAGTTTACTGTCATTTTTTCCCAGTTTTATTGAGATAAAATTGCCATATACCACTGTGTACGTTTAAGGTGTTCAGCATAATGATTTGACTTATGTATATTGTGAAATGATAACCATAATAGGTGTAGTTAGCATCCATCATCTCATAAAGACACAATAAAAAGAAGAACATTTTTTTTCCTGTGATGAGAACTTTCAGGATCTATTCTCTTAGCTTTCATATATATCATAGCAGTGGTAACTGTAGTCATCATATTGTTAACTATAGTAATCATTTTTTTTTTAAGGTATCTACGAATATTCCAAAATGTGGACCTATCCAGCAATTTTTACTTTAGGTAAGTTTGAGCTTAGTTTTGCTCCTGTCGGTCTCTTAAATGTTTATATTATTTCCTACAGGGTAAAACCAGAATCAGAGGACACAGTAGTACTTTGATTATTCTTTTTTTAAAAAATAGCCAAATCTTTTCCTCTGAAATAATATAAATACAAGTATTCCTTCTTTTAAAAAATCAAATTTTTGAAATTTTGAATGGATAAATTAAATGGTAATTATTCTTACTATAAAAAATCATCTTTTCATTATGATTTTAAAGAAATACTTTTATTTTGTAATTTTTTTTGAGTTTGAATATATTTACTTCTGAAGTTTTCAATATTATCATCATCTCTGAAACAGGAAATTTTAAAATTCCTGCATCCTTTATTCAAATGAGAGTGGCAATAATAATTTAAAATTATACACTGATCTTTTATTTTTTACAGAAGAGCAAATTAAAGATTGAAGAAATTAAATTACTCCTGTAGGACTGGCAAGAAGCACTCTATTAAAAATAATTATTGCCAGTTCTCAAATATACATTTTCATCTAGCACACCAAATAGAAAATGTCACAAGATACTAAATCTAGAGATTAACACATAAACACACAGTTGTTGAATTAATTAAGGGCCAAACTATAAAACATTAACAAAACAAATATTGCAAATCATGTCCATTTCTGCACATTTTTTAAAGTTTTTATTGGAGTATAGTTGATCTACAGTGTTGTGTTAATTTCTGCTGTACGGCGGCGTGAGTCAGCTCTATGGGGGGAGGGGATACATGCATCTACTCTGTTTTTTTTTAAGATTCTTTTCCCATATAGGCCATTACAGAGAATTGGTCACAGATACAGAAAACAAACTTATGTCGCTAAGGTTAAGTGAGCAGAGGCATAAATTGGGAGATTGGAATGGACGTGCAGACACTATTATATGTAAAATAGACAACTAATCGACCTCACTGTATAGCGCAGGGATCTCTACTCAATACACTGTAATGGCTTATTTCATAATTTTGAATTACAAAAATTAAATCTGCATTGTCTATATACAGGGAGGTGGGAGGGCGATTCAGGGTTGTGGGGGACACATGCATACCTGTGGTTGATTCATGTTGACGTATGGCAAGAACCATTGCCATATTGTAAAGTAATTATCCTCCAATTAAAATAAATAAATTTTTAAAAAGTTTATATACAGAGTTTTGTAACCATTTCACAGTTTTCAGTTGACAGTCTAGTGAAAATTAGGTAAAAATAAACTCAAAATAGGGAGAACTGTTGCAGTACCAACATATTGTTGTTGGCATTGTAAATTAATAATTTTCCTGGAGAGGAATGTAGCATCAAGTATGTATGAAAATATATCTGAAGAAAATAAATCAGGAGGGAAAATATTAGTGCCTGTTTGTAAAGGCACTAGCTTTACAGATAGCTTCTCTATCATGGCCCAAACAAGCAAACCAACCAATGCAGGGACAACCCAAATATGGTGAATTGAAAAATAAGCAAGTAAATTATAGCGGAGCACCCTGAGAGAGTGTTATAGCATCACAGAAGCGACCGATATGTAGGCCAGGTGGATGGCAAGTTCTTGTGCTGCATGGGAAATTCTGTCCCTTACAATGCCCAAAGTAAAGTGTAGAACACAAATAGCATATATCAATGGACTTGAGTCATAGGACTAAGCAGAGGACCCAGAGTGTTGTAGCTGTTGGCATTATGTACTGTTAGGGTGCTTTGCAATATTTTAAATTTATATTTAAACTGTTAATATAGTTAACCATTTATTTATTTATGAAAGAAAAACATGTCTACTATGTAGAGTGGAGTATGTCTTCATTGATGTGAAACTGAAGAAAGTTAATTACTTTAGCAGTAGTATAGTGAAGGGCTTCTAAAGAAATAATTTTCACTTCCACGAATGTTTATGTAAAGTATATTTCCATTGTATTTGCCTCCATCATTTGCTTTTCAGCCGTTATTGCTTAATTGTTTATAGTCTCTCTGAGGTATTACTGAAGCTCAGTGGAGCTGACTGTTAGAAGTGATTTCTCCTTCATGTTTCTCAAGTTCTTCTGCATTCTCATACTGAGTTCTTATCAACTTATTCCATAAGTAAAGAATATGAGGTTAAAGACTTTAAAAAAGGTTATATTACATTCTTAAGATTCAGCTAGGATAAATCAGTTGTTTTAAATAGGAAAAGTTGACTGTTAAAGGCCAAGTTGCTCACCCCGCCCCCAGCTTTATTGAGAATTACTGACATCTGTAAGTTCAAGTTGTACAAGGTGATGATTAGATACATGGATGTATTGCAGAATGATTACCCCAGTGTTAGTTAACATCTTCATCCCATGACATAGTTGTGATTTTGTGTGTGTGTACTGATAACACGTGATTTACTCCCTTAACACATTTCAATCATATAATTCAGTATTGTTAATTAGATACATTGTTAATTACCATGCTGTACCTTAGATAACCAGATCTTATTTATCTTCTGTCTAAGAGTTTGTACTCTTTGACCTATAGTTCTCCATTTCCCCCAGCCACTGGCAACTACCATTTTTTTTATATACCCTACATTTTATTTATCTGTTCCTTTGCTAATTTATTAATCTGTTCATTTGTGGCTGTTGCCACATCTGGGTATTTTGATTAATTCTGCTGTGGGATGGGGGTGCAGATAGCTCTTTGAGATGGGGATCTTTTTTCTTTTGGATATATAACCAGAAATGGGATTTCTGGATCAAATGGTAGTTCTGTTTTTAATTTTTTAGGAACTGCTATTTTATTTTCCATAATGGCTGCACCAATTTATGTTCCCACCAGCAGTGCAAAGAGTTCTCTTTTCTCTACATCCTTGCCAACCCTGCCGTTTCTTGTTTTAATAATAGCCATTCTAATAGGTATGAAATGGTATCTCATTGTTATCTTGATTTGCATTTCCCAATGTGATGATGAGCATCTTTTCATGCATTTATTGGCCATTTGTATGTCTTCTTTGGGGAAATGTCTATTCAAGTCGTTTGCCCATTTTAAAATTGGATTGTTTGTTTGTCGTTGAGTTGTATGAGTTCTTTATGTATTTTGGCTGTCAACCCATTAACAGATGGTTTGCAAGTATCTTCTCCCATTCAAAAAGTTGCCTTTTTATTTTGCTCACTCACTCTTTTTCTGTGCAAAGCTTTTTATTTTGATGTTTCATTTGTTTGTTTTTGCTTTTGTTGCTTGCACTTTTGGTGTCATGTCCAAAAATAGTATTTGTGAAGACCAATGTCAAGGAGATTTTCCCTGTGTTTTCTTTTATTAGTTTATAGTTTCAGGTCTTACATTTAAGTCTTTAATCCATTTTGAGTGAATTTTTGTGAGTGGTGTAAGACTGGGGTCCAGTTTCATTCTTCTGCATGTGGTTGTCCAGTTTTCCTAACACATTTATTGAAGAGACTATCCTTTCTCCATTTGTCTTTTGGAAAAATGGTTGTCAGTCGCTCAGTAGTGTCCAACTCTTTGAGACCTCGTGGACTGTAGTCTGCCAGGCTACACTGTTCATGGAATTCTCCAGGCAAGAATACTGGAACAGGTGGCCATTCCTTTCTCCAGGGGATCTTTCTGATCCAGGGATCAAACCTGGGTCTCCTGCATTGTATTGCAGGTAGAGTCTTTACTGTCTGAGCCACCAAGGGGAAGCCCATCCTTCCTCCATTTGTCTTTTTGGCTCCCTGGTCAAGTATTAGTTGACTGTATCTGAGTGGTTTTATTTCAGGGCTCTCAGTTCTGTTCCATTGGTCTGGGTGTCTTTTTTATCTGGGTAACATGCTGTTTTGATGCTGTAACTTTGTAATGAAGTTTGAAATCAGGAAGTTTGACACCTCCAGCTTTGTTCTTTCTTAAGATTGCTTTGACTATTAGGAGTTTTCTGTAGTTCCATACAAATTTTAGAGTTGTTTTTTTCTATTCCTGTGGAAAATGTAATTGGAATTTTGATACAGATTGTATTGAATCTGTAGGTGGCTTTGGGTATTATGGTTATTTACACACTATTTTTTTTTCATTTATTTTTATTAGTTGGAGGCTAATTACTTTACAATATTGTAGTGGTTTTTGCCATACATTGACATGAATCAACCATGGATTTACATGTGTTCCCCATCCCAATCCCCCCTCCCGCCTCCCTCTCCATCCCATCCCTCTGGGTCTTCCCAGTGCACCAGCCCTGAGCACTTGTCTCATGCATCCAACCTGGGCTGGTGATCTGTTTCACCCTTGATA